CGTCCTGGTGCAATTTTCTTCCCCGAGAGAAACTTGTGGTGCGAGTCCCCTAATGTCAGAAAGTCGAATAATCATTATTATTATATGATCTAAAAATAGCTGCAATCTCATTGGTCCAAACTGTAGTCAACAGAACTTTTTATAAAATCATATTCACTGGGGGTAGTATCATATTAACTGGCTAAATTGGGTTTTCCAAGTCTAAAAATAGATTGAGACTCATATTCAATGACCATTCATTACGTGTGCTAATTAAAAAATAATTGTTGCATTTTGTTCTTTATGGCATATTTCTCGATTAAAATATCATTACTTTACTGTTATACTTAAAGGCTAAACCGCATCGATGAGTATAAACTTGAATAACTTTCGTATGCGCAGCGTTCGCGTAGTCGTTGCACGCCTATCACGTGCGTCTTTTTTCCCGCGCTTCAACGAGGCAAAATTTGTACATGTATATAAGGTTGTACTTTTTCGTGATTTTTTTTTTAAATTCTGAGCCTATTCATATAATAAAACAATTATTGACTAGTGAGCCATTGAATATGATGTGATATTCACCGGCAGAAAGTCATATTGGCTATCGCCTCGGTCAATATGTCATCTGCCAGTGAATATCACATCATATTCAATGGCTCACTAGTCAATAATTGTATAATATCTTATTGCAAGAGGAAATATTATAAAATCTTGGTTTGATTGCGTCTTCTTAAGGCTCCTGTCTCTAACCCTATCCTGATTATTCAGCTAATCCCATATAAACATCAAAACCTTACACTTTTTCATATCTGAACTAAAAAAGTGTTAACCCGTATAAGTATCCAGAGCTCGATCAAATATCCTCAAGATTACTATAAAAAAAATTTATAACAGAGTTTTATTAAGAAGTTTTGCAATACTTTCCATATATTCAGATCTCTGTCAAAGCAAGTATCGTTCAAATTTAACGGACTAGACTCATGCCTTAATTGGCCAAATGTGCAAGAAAGGCCCAAAACGTTACTCCAGTAATTATAGCTTTTAAATGCATTGCTGACAAGTAAAAGAAAAAAAATCTTTTCATAACAATATTATATGAAAATTGAGGACTCGGAGTTGATTGAGTCTGTTCATAAGAGATAATGTGCAAGTGAAACATCTCCCCCGCACACACAGCAGCGGCTAAAGTGGTATTTAATCTTCGTCCTGGAAACAATGACTCCGAAGGAACAGAAAAGTATAACAACACTGAAGTGAAGTATGTCTATATAGAATTATAATTATAGGTTTGTGAAAATGTTTACATCAACAAAATACCTTTCAAAACATTGGATCCCAAGAAGGATACAAAAACGTAGACAGAGAATTGGTGTTATTTCCTACCTGCCTTAGAGGGGCGTGTAGCGTGAGTTCTATAATGCCAGAAGGTCGAATAACCACTAATATCTAATTGCAAGGGCAAATATCATTCTGTCTTCTTTAGGCTCCAGTCGCTAAGCCTATCCTCATGATCCTAGTCCTTAAAACAGAAACTCTAGCTTATCCTACATGAAATTCGAATTGAATTTCTTACATAGATTAGCTGGGACACTTAAAACAAAGACAATTGGAAATGTACCGAGAAATAAAATAAATAAAATGAATAAAATAAGATGAAAATCGTATGTCACAGCCTACACACTTTCTCCCCTAATTAGTGAACAGTTCTGAACCGTGACACGTATTTTTGTGTTATATTCTCAGTACGGCTTGAGTTTATCAAAAGCGTTGCAACGCTTTTCAATTCAGTGTCATTTTCTACAATTAGAATAATAATTCTGGAAGAGAACGATCAGATCTGACATTTTGCATACAAGTTATTTGTCTAAACCTACATCAAATGGAAAATGAATCCCGAAAACGTATTTCCTGTACCGTCATGTCAAAATACTTCACTGGAGTCCCTTTAAATTGATTGATCTTAACATGATGACAAAAAAATGTTTTAGAGTAAACATAGGGGTCTCAGACCTCGTTTTCGTGTGCTTATTTCAAGGGCCGATAACAGTTACTTACAATCTAACAAAGCTAAAATGTAAGGGTATATTTTTTTTTTGCCGTAAAAGGTCAGAGTTACTTTGATGGTAATTTATGTTATTGGTGGGCATCAAATTTAATTTTAAAAAGTAAAAGTTTTTTATTTAAGCAAGAATATTTGCTTTCACATTGAAATTTAAGACTGTTGTTGTTGTTGTTGTGTGTATGTGTGTGCGTGCGCGTGCCCGTGCGTGTGTGTGCGCGTGCGTGTGTGTGCTTTTGATTGACTGAGATGCGTACAATAAATATGTCCAGAAGATACAAAGGTATTGCAATTAGACAAAAACAATTTTTTTTCAAAATGTAGATCGCGGCTACTTGTCTGTTCTTTCAGTAAAAAAGATTGTAAATAATATCACGGACAGTATTCTGATAATTATCAATTCAAATTTATCAGTCTTTGGAATAACATAATTTCATTATATATACAAATATTCTCACTTCAATAGGTCTAACGTTACTGATAGAAAAGAAAAATGTTTCTGTTTCTCGAGAAACCTTAATGGTTTAACATTTGAACAGATAATTAAGTATATACATTGTAATGCCAGCCTCTGATATAGACTTATTGTTATCTAATAATCATGCTTTGTTAAAATAATTCTGCAATCATTCAAGTAAATCAATTTTCCTTATGAATAACCACCTTTGATATATAACACAGATTTATATTTGTAATAAAAGTATCTGATATAAATGAATGTCCTTAAGAAGGCAATTCCAGATATTGACCTTAGTTTTATCACGGACATCAATTGTCAATTAAATTTTATAATTATATAGATAATTTCTTGTTACTGACAACGTAATATTGTGATCGTGATTGTTCATGTATTTTAACATTCCTTAAAAGTCTCAATAAGTGCCAATATACATTATTATACCACTAAAGGCAATAAGACAAAATTCCTTCACTTATAGAGTCGTAAACGAATGGAACCTACTTCCCAGTGAAATAGTTTTATCAAAGAATGTAAATGAGTTCAAATCTAAGTTAGATAAACACTGGCAATGGAAGAGATTTAAAATGGACAATATATATTAGATAGACCAATACCGGAGCGGACGACACTGAAAACGGAAATCGAGGGGAATGATAGTCCGTTAGGGGACTGATAAAGTTTCCCAAACATCACAAGGCTATATAATTATGCCGGCTCGCCACGGCGAGCCGGTATTACGGTAGGATTTTACTGAGAAACAACCTAAAACTCCGAAGCTATCCAAAAATTTAATCGAAGCTTGGCTTCCAGCTTTCTACAAAATTCATCTATCAGGGCTAGGATCCAAAATTATTTAGCCAATCAAATTTAATCTTACATAGCGTCAAAAAACCTTCAATTTTCACGCCATTTTTAAAAATCAGCAAGTATTGTTTTGAGCGCAAAGATATAATGATGATTAAAATGTTTGTCTTTATGAATTCTTTTCAAAAATCATATTTACACTGACTTCTGATTTAGCGATTTCACCTGTTTTCTTTTCTCTGTAATAAGTTTTCGTTGGTTAATTAACATAAGTGTACATCTGGTTCTGTGCATTTTTAATTTTCCTTTTTTCCGGTCATTTTATCCTTTCCGGTATTTAGTGTATGTATTTACTGGCCGGGATCCGGGACGCCCGGGATCCGGGATCGTGTAAGATATGGAGGAAAAACCTAATGAACTATATTTGTGTTGATTGTTGGCGTAATGAAAGGCCATTAAACGTTATTTTTTTCTTATTGTATATAATGAACGTTAAATTAATTTAACTTAGAATATAGATATATATTTAGAGCTATTTATTAACAAACTTAAAATGCGGAAATCACAATACTTATAATTATATGCCTAATTAATTGGAAAAATCAAAGACTATTTTCTTGAATTGGTCAAATCCTGGATCCCTATATGTTTTTAAAAACGATCCTGGGGACCAGCTTTTCTGAAAACTATATACTTGAACTGGCCAATCCGTGAGATCTATTTACATTTTAATACGATCCCGGCTTTTCTGAAAACTATATTCTTGAACTGGTCAATTCCCGGGATCCCTATATGTTTTAATAGGATCCCGGCTTATCTGAAAAAACATTTTCTTAGACTGGTCAATTTCCGGGATCCCTATTTTTTTTAACAGGATCCCGGCTTTTCTGGCTGAATTGATTGACAACTTGTGTTTACTTTAGGACTTGTGCCTCTCATTCCAATACTAAATAACATACATGTATTACAACTTAATTTTGTATAAAGAGACATCTTTATGAAATCTACATATCTAACATTTTGTGGTCAAGGTCAACAGGCCATATAGTAAATGTGCATAGTCATAGGTTCTTCATTCTATCTGTTTACATGCACCTTCATAATTATATACTCATACTCATCTTGGTTAAACTGAGAGAACTTCGTTTATATGTCACTTTCAGTCAATGAGTTTAAGATTTTGAATTTACTGGCCCGAATTCCAGTTTTGAATTTATTCTACTAAATAATTAATAAAATTTTCTTAAATTTACACTGGCCTGAACTTATATACACTGGCCATCGGGCACCGGGCCAGTGTTGACTTCACTTTTATTTTGATGTTCGCTGAAGTCTCTTCAGCTAACAGAACTGTCATTTTTACATTTAAACACACCCCTTGAAAAAAATTACGAAGCGAGTCGCTACTAGCTTTTTTAAAAGCTAACCTTGTATGTATATAAGTAGAAGCAGTAGGCATAGAAGATTTTGTGGTTTGAGACCTATCACGGCAAGAAGAGACTAAATGTGAGCCAAAATATTCGAACACAATGTCAATCTTTTTACTGTTTTGTCGTGAAAAGAGAGTTTTATCAGACTCCATTACGAGTTTTACTGATGCATTTATAAACTTTTAATTTTCTGATAATAATAACAAAAAGATAATAACAAAAAGATAATATTTTTTAATACGAATATGTGTCCAATAAAGTCAGCATAATGTGCAACAACAACAACAACTACAACAACAGAGAACAAATTATTGGAAAAACTCTGTGCAGACATTTGATTGTGTTTGGCTGAAAATGATTTACTTGTCACAACTGTATTTTGAAAGGAAGGTTGTTTAACTATCATCAAAAATGATTCCACAGTTTAAAAGAAGTAAATTTACTCTTTTATTTCTCTCAACATCAGTGTTTTGCATCTTACTACTTCTTCACAAAGTATCTCAGAAGGACTCTGCCTTGGCAAGGCTGGGTAAGTTGATTTTTATGCTTTGTTTACAGTGGTAACATCATCATTGAAAATTGTTTATGACAGTTCAAAATTTGTTACTGGGATAGACAGGGACAGTGATATTTTTTACTTTTTTCGCAACTGAAATTGTGAATTTTAACGCAATACTGTGTCAAATTGTGAAAAAAAAAAAACAAGACTAAATCATCACCTGCAGTCACTTATTCATACATTTAATAATTATGTTTATGGTTTAAGCTTTCTTCTTGTTATTCCCTCAAATATATCACTCAAATCCTTAAGATTGTCTTTTGTCAGTTCATTATTTTGATTGGTAATGAAAAGCAATCCTGTCAATTGTGAATTTTTTACACATTTTTATGAGTTTCTTATGTGAAGATGCCTTATTTCGGGGTCAAAATCAACCAAAAAAAAAAAAAAAATCACTTCCAGGTTTTTTTTAACTGGATAACTTCACTTTTGACACAAATACAGTTCTTTAAAAGAAAGAGCTAGCTTGTTTATTTACATTTATGTTGACATTTGTGTTTGAGGCTCATGTAGGTATCAAAAGCAATCAGGGCATTTCGGCCCAAACCAAATTGACCCCAGTGCTAAAAAGAAATTTCAGCGTTCAGGGTGTTTGTTTGACCAAAGACCTTCGGGTCTTGACTGGTAAAAATTCTGAAATGCTTTTGTCTGACCCATCATAAAGTTAGCTCTCATGTCATTTTTTTACCGTACTAATTTGCGATGGATACATGGAAACTTTCAGTAAGTGCTGACACAGGAATTTCGCATTGACAAAGCAATTAGCCACAGTGGACATGAAGAATTATCCTCATTTAAGCAGTTTAAGCCAATTATACATGTAGACAGGTTCACTCGTGGTTTGCATCTGATAGTGAGAAGTAAAACTGAAAGTTGTCTATTCAATATACATTGCATAGTATAAATGTATGTGCATAATAATTTTCATTAATTGGTAAACAATAGTAATTATGTATGCGTGCCAATATGTCACATTTTTATATGAAGATTGAACTGCGGAAATTGTAATTTTACCGATTTATAGGAATGAACGTTTGAAGAGTTTTTTTGCAGGTGGCTAATTTTAGACTACTGTTATTATTAATTATCGACGCTTTCCTTTAAATATTGTAAAATTTTCTATTTGCCCGGTTAAAACAGAACTCAAGGTTCAAAATATTGTGCTGTTGACTAGCAATTCATTACCGCTCAATTTAAAGCCTGCTTGACTTAGGACTTTCTTACACTAAACTTTCTCAACAAAAAGGACATTCAGGGAAACTTGGTAAGAACAATTTTAATGTTTAGAATTGAATGTTGTTCTTGAACAATGTAAATTATTTTGTACATGTCATCATGAAGCTAATAGGAACATTCCTTATTCAAATGGTGGTAGCCCAAATTTACAGCTTAGTGCAATTGATAGACATCAAAACAAAAATCCAGATCACTTGGAGTAAGCAAATGCTAGAATGCTTATCAATTCTAATATATATCAAGCTCAGCCTCAAAGGTCTAACTGTGCTGAATAATGTCTTAATTTGTAAAGAAAGCAAAACAAAAAACAATATTACATACTTTTCCTTATGAAATATGTTTTATACATGTGGTTGCTAAATAAACTACATATCAATTTAGATCAATGATGCTCAAAATATGCGTACCCTTGAATATTTTGGTTTGATCCTTAAAAATTTTGTGTGGCGGATCAATGACCCTTTAGTTTTAGAGTCTACCGAACACTCTGGCCTTTATATAAAGTGATTCATGAATGTATATCAAAATGTGGGATCAATTTATACAAAATTGTTTTAAAAAAAAACAATACTTGTAGATTAAACAACTTTTATCCTTATTTAGTAAGACTGTTGACAGTCTGTACAAAATTCTTGTAAGTATAATATCTCTGAAATCTTTAATTAAGTGATTATACAGTAATGATTGATTACTGTATAAGTCCAAATAAAAAAGTTGTTATTGAATAGTTATTATTATAACATTTATGTGTTAAGTTCCAGCGATATTTTTCCTTATACAGAGATGTAGATAATATGTTATCTATGTCTCTGCCTTAATTAAAAGTGGTACCATATATTACGGACCTATTTACAATCAGGAACAGTCTTTCACAATTTTCAGAATGTTCACAATTCTGCCAAAAATCACAATCTACTTGAATTAAGCCTACAATTTCTTCTTTTTCCTGATTTTTTCTAATGTATGTGATTAAAATCTCAATTCATCTTTGCGTTGATGTATTGTTTAAAATTAAAACGTCATCTTATAGTACAGGTAATACTGCCGATATTCAAACCGAAAGTTGAATTGCTTCCACTTTGATTCGCAGATTTTTTTTTACTACAATTTAATCAGTAAATGTCCGAAATGGCAAAAATATATGTTAAACCAGGGTCTTTCAATTAGATAAAACCCCAATTTATGGAGAATTTTTCAGCAGTATTTTTGATAATTTAAACTTTGTGGACTTAAATTTTTCGAGCTGAATGAATTAAGATTTGTCTTTCAGTCGTAGGGTTACCGAATAATGAAAGACATTTTTCAGCAACCTGGTGATGAATTTGTTTTTCTACCAATTTTTCTAAATCTTCAACAAATATTATGGGGTAGCAAAAAAGAATACACATCTCAATACAGAGACTAATTAGTGATGAATATTAATTTGCAAAAGTGAATATAAAAAAAGTTGGAACAAAATCAAAGTATTTTGATTTTTTTTCCTCCTGAAAGAAGTGTTAGACGATGGAATATGTAAGCTATTAAATATCTGCTGAACATATACATAATAACATTCAATGATGTGTATCAATAGTTAAATGTACCTGAAATATAAACAGCATAACTTAAGATCAAGAATTTCTCCAATACTAATAAAATTTATTGTCGCTAAAATTCAAGTAAATAATAACTTAACAGACAATACCTGACAGACACTGTTACACATCACTGTCTTTTAGCACCTAGATTCTCATTTAAAATTTCATTCAACATTAGCTCTCATATGTCACAAATACTAAACATTTTCAATGTCCCTCATATCATGCTAATTTACAAACCTGATTTACTTTAAATTCAATAATACTGTCTTACCATAATGTGCTACAGTAAATGTTTGTAACTTATTTCATAATTTGAAGACTTTTCTGCATGTCAGCTATGAACTTTTATTTGTAAGTAATGTTTCACACTATTTAAGTTTGTGAACAGAAATGATTTGAAAGATTGAAAAAAATTCAAAATTTCAATCATCTGATATTCTGAGCAATTGCTTATAACTCCTGTTTTTCAAGAATTATCTCCAAACTTGAAATTTATTTGAAAGTTGTTATATATTCAATTTTTAATATAAATGATATAGATCTAGTCATAATCTACTCTAGAGTCTATGGTACTTGGTCTTTGTCATTACTCACATGACGCATGACAAGGGTCACAGCTCTAGCATCTTTACTTCTAGAGTTATTTCCTCCTGGAAATTGTAATTTTACTTTTAAAAACTTTAAATTCTTTTTGCTCTTATCATTTTGTTTACTGAAGGCTGATTGACTTCAGATTTCAAATTGTTGTCTTTTCCATTAGAGCATAGAAATATCTGTTTGACTTTTATTGACATGGTCACATGCATATTTTGTGGTGCAAAAATAATGTGTTTGAGTGCTTTCTTGATGCTGATACAGAAATATATTTATAATTTATCATGATATATTTTTTTTCTCATAGTTTTGTCTTCCATTAAAGTTTATTGCATCCAGTATTTAATTAGTGGAGTAGTGTTGTCTTCTCTGACAGCTCATGTTAACATGTAACATGGGCAGGAGACCTAACCTTAAACTTATGAAAAATGACTGGGTTATTTTTTGCTAAAAGTGATGTATAGTGGAAATTTGCATGATTGTAAAGACTTTTCTTGAGGTGAAGCAGTCCATAAATAATCTTGATATAGAAGGGGAAACAATTGATTGATAGAAGTGATGGTTCATGGTTTGACAGTCCTTGGAATGCTATCTTATTGAAAAATTGGCAGTCCTGTGTCTAAAACCTGTGTCAGGGAGGTACATGTATAGAAAATGTCCCCCCCCCCCCAAAAAAAAAGAAAAGAAACAGATAGAGAGAGAGAGCCCTGTCATTGTTGTTCATGTGGGGAAGAGCGTACATTAATGACCCCCTCTATAAATAGAAAACATCCTGATGGCAGATAGGCACATGGTCGGATACCCACGCTTGATTTACATGTAACATAACTGATAAATGTTTATAGTGCAGATGTGGGTATCCAACGATGAGATAGGCAATGACTGAGCATTGTTTGTATTTGATTTAAAATTGATTAATATATTTTTCTTCTTATTTTTGTCAGTGATTGCTCATGTAATTGAACCAGTATATGATAAATTATGATCATTGATGAACTATTGATTATTAAAGCTTTATAGGCAAGAAATTCTTGTTATTTGCCATTTACAATAGGTTTACTTGCAATACCATTTAGACATTGTGTTTGCCCAACCGGAGTTACAATTCTACAAAAGTAGTACAGTCATGAATCGTGTAAGATAGATAAGATGAGTAGAAAGGTTGATAGAAAATGATTTGATATAATAAATTATATGAGCCGCGTCACGACAAAACCAACATAATGTGTTTGCGGCCAGCGCAGTCTGATCAGGATCCATGCTGTTCGCTTACAAACCCTATTACAAGTAGAGAAACTGATAGCGAACAGCATGGATCCTGATCAGACTACGCTGATCGCAAACCCATTATGTTGGTTTTGTCGTGACGCGGCTCATATAATGTTTATTACTGTAAATGCAACATTAGATATACTATTTTTGTAACATTAGGTCATACATGATATCTAAAAAAAATTATTAATCCTTAATCTAAAAACATTTTTATTATTTTTCATATTTTCAGAATACCAGCTGTCACAGTTGCCAGGCAACACAAGACGTCACCTTGCTGAAAGTTATGACCAGGTATGATATAACTGTTTTATTTTGATAAGTCGTCTGTTGCTGAGTGATTAAGGTTATTGACTTTTAACCACTTGCCCCTCACTGGTGTGGGTTCTTATCCTGACAGGAATTCTTTCATAGCTTACTGAATGTTAATGGTTCTACTCAGGTGTCAGTTTGTGCCTGAAATGATGCATACAAGGGCACCTGAGGTCTTTCTCTACTAGTAAAGCTGGTATAAATCAGTATTCGAAATTAGTAATTTTCAAGGAATATTCTAACCTTTTTAAACGCAGTGGTTAAATCTGGGGATATAAGATCAAAAGTGAATTATTGAAGCTATAGAATTAAAAAGAGCAAAATTAATAAAAAAAATGATATGTAAGCAGACTTACTAAACTTTATGTTAGACTTATCTTTCATTCTTTTTCTCAAATTTCTTTCCTGCTTAAATTGTGAGACAATCACTGAAATATAATAAAATTATATACAGAAATATTATACAACCAGACATGTTTTGTAGGGCTGTAATTTAACAGTAACTGACACATAAATCATGAATAATATTTCTAGTGATAATGTAATCTCAGTATAGGGAGAATATAACAATATTTATAGTTAATATAAGGGATTGGTTATTGAAGTTTGCAGCATTTCACATACATGTTCATTACAATTGGTAAATACATAGCTTATATATAAATATGCTTTCCAACCAATACTTCTGAAATGGTATTAATCTTATATACTAGTATTCTGCACAACAATTATGAACCAAGTATTAGCAGTTTATGTCATAAGACAAGAGGTGATTGATGTCCATCAAAACAGCTCTTTATACTTAATATACTACAATTGAAATCCAAAATAATTGTAAGAAAATTTAAAATTACAGGCTGCATATGATATTTTCCTACAGTTCCAAAATACATCATTAGTGTAAAAATCTATTTTAAGCACCTGATGCAAGTAACCTCTAAGTCAACCCGAAGATAGAAGACCACCAAAGGTATTTTGTACCAAAAATGAAAGACTGTGATCCACCAATAAATAAAGCCTTTGTAAGCAAAAGTGAAAAAATCTACTTTGAGCACCGGAATTCTTAACCATGACCAAAATGAACCCAAACTTAAAGCAAACTTAGAAGACCACTTGAGGTATTAGCCCATTACCCACCATGACCTTGACCCAGGTGTACCCTAACTTAGATAACCACCCAAGGCAAAATGAAAGAGATCAGTCAGTACAGTGCAAAAATCTATTTTATGCACTGTTAACTTTGACCTTGACCCAAGTAAACTCCAGAACTAACCAAGGAATTCCTACAAAATATGAAAGACATCAGTCAGTGAATAAAAGCTGTATAAGTTAAAGGTTAAAAAATATTTTAAGAACTTGTGGCCTTGACTACAGTAACCCCCAAACTCAGACTACCCACAGTACATGTATTTAATAATATATATACTTAACTGAACATTACTACCCAAACCACCTTGAAGGTAACAGGGTCAAAGGTCACGGTCACCATGGCCTTAAATAGCAAATATTAATCTTGGCACTTCCTTTTAAAGTATTTTAAAATCACTTGTATGTACATGCACTTTGATATGCTCTTATTGTACAAAAGTTCTTGGAAAAACAAACAAACAGGAAGTAACATATTTAAAAGTATATAGGTACATTGAATGGAAAATGATGACAATTGCATCATGGTGCAGATTGAATTGTATAGGCTTGTAAGACACAGCATAGTGAATGTGGTTATCAAACTTTACTTTACTGCTTGTATAATATTGATCAATGAGAGAAATGGAAGGTGCTGTCAGGGGACAGGTTTTGTTACATTGTTTATGGTTATAATGTTGATATGTATTCATGTTTCATTAATCTATTGTGAGTTATATCTTCTAAGGTCAAGGACATATATTCACTCAGTTGAGACCAGTATGCTGTTTAAAAGTCTAAGGGACCTTACAGTTGTTCGAATACAATGATACATATAGCCAAAGGTTTTGTCTTATAATTATCAAATAAAAAACAGTTATATGCTCAAACTAAATTAAACATATGCTGTGTTTTTACAACATTTACAATTTAACTGTTGAGGGTCACTTCATTGACACCTATTTTAAGTGTCATCAAGGGTTTTGATTCAGTTTAATTAAAGTTCATGTTAACAATTAGTGTTTAATAAGTGTTTAATAGGTATTATAATAAGTGTTTAATAGGAAATAAATAGGATAACAGTGATACCTGTTGTAATTTTTGATGAAGGTCACAACAGTCTGTGTTGTTCATCTATTCCAGAGGTAAATATTATTAGTTCTTGGGGTCAAAGGTCAAGGTAATTGTGTGAAATATTTAAAATTATAGCACAGATACAGCAAATTTAATAAACTTTAATTTGCAAATCATGGAGGAAATCAAATTTGGCCCAGTTAGCACTTAATTTAAGGGAGAGCATCAAATTTATTATCCATGGGTCGCAAAAGGCGAGTTTTCTGTGAGAATTTCCCTTGGACAATTTTAGTCTAATGATAATTTGTCTGTCACTGCTGATGATTCAGAAATCTTGTTGAATTAATAGTAACTAACTTGTTAAGAAAATTATATTCACTGGTTTAGTTATAAAGAAAACAGGTTTGAGGTAGACTGACATTTAACCCTCAAACCCCCACCCCTTGATTTGACCAAAAAATGAAGAAAAAAATGTGTAGAAATCGACATAAAAACCAGACAAACAAACATTAGCATGTTATCATAAATATTTAAACCATTTCTAGATATTTTTTATCTGTAAAAATTTATTATCATGCCTTAATTATTAGCAACACACAAAATAATAAGATATTTATAACAACATTTTGAAATAATTATACATTTGTATTTATCTTAAATGTTAATCCATTTGTCAGTCATTCAAATGATTTGGTAATTTACTTATTAATGAGAAATAAATTGAAATAGTAAATGTTAGATTTTCATTATATTGAGAGTGTATCAGTGAGAAAAGACTTTAGTTTAATTTGCATAAAATTGCATTTTCACTTTGTTGTAGGCAAGTAAATGTGATGTAAAAGTTAAGTGTATGTGGAGTGAACTAATTTGTTTTGAGGATTGAAATAACTCCAGGTGCAATATTAATTAACATGCTGTGGCATATACATCAAAGTCAGGTGTTTATATATTTTTGTAAGTGTAAAATCCTAGGTATTATATCATTACTATAGATGCAGGGAAACCAATTTACTTTTGTATATAAAAAGAAATAAAATAAGTTACTATTGTTTGACAATATTGATCTGAGACTGATTAAATTTTAATGTCATAACTTTGAGAAATACGCAATTTTGTCATTTGATTAATTTCAATATGTAAAGTCGAGAATGAAGTATTTGTCTATATATCTTTGCTTTCGATATATTTTGAACAATATTTCTAGAAATTTCCTTTGGTCACATGGATTAATTTTTCATAGTAAAATACATGTATAAAATTTGAACACAATTATAATTTTTATTATGGCAAAATGTCAAGTAGTTTTTATTTTTACCTGTACACTGACCATTTACGCTTGGATGCAGGGCATATTATGTCACTTTGTCATAAAGGAAGCCATTTCAAAAGGGCAGATTATGGCCTAAACTAATTTTATGCAAAGTTATGTCCCTTTATCAACTAAGATTTTCAGCCCTCAGGTTAACCTTTTCATTAAGGTCATTTTTCTCTGACACTATAAAAGTTTTGCACTTCAGACTTGATGTACCAGTACAATTGTTCACTATCAAATTATAACAACATTTCAGAAAGGCTCAGATAATCCTAAAATTTATTTTTGGCAACATTCTTCCATTTTTTTTCTTCCAAGGTCAGTTCAAAAATGGAATTCAAGTTTGTTACATTTTTGAATTGGAATTAATTTCTTAATAGCAGGTTACTTTTTTTTCTCAGTTATGCCCCATTACTTGTTTCCTATGAAAATTGAAATGCATTTTTCAGGGGCAAATAATCCTAAAAACCGTTTTTGCTAAATTACTTACTTGTTTTCTTTTCAACTTAGAATATTTCCTTTCTCTAAAAAAAAAAGTATTCACTCCAAACTTGAAATATGTGTTGACTATTTGACTATCAAAGACAGGTAAGTCTGCTAACTAAGCATGTTTGCAGAATTATGCCCCCCCCCCTTTCCTCTGTTGATTTAATTGAACTATCCAGAACCAAGAAAAAAGTGGAGCACACTGTCGGCTGCACCGAGTGACTCAGGTCTTGTTTTCAGATAGTTTCCATTTTTTCTTTATTTTGGTATATTGTAAAATGTGATAGAAATATTATTGTCATTTTATCAAGATTGTACAGTTGATCATAGACAGACTATAATTTCTGGTGTTTTCCCAGGGGGTTCTTTGATTGTAGTCATCCTCCTCATTGTTTGTTTGACAGATATATTTTTCTCCTATCTGGGGGATTATACCACTGTATCCTTAAATTTAACCCATCTAAAAAGTAATGGTATTCTTGCATTGTACTTCTAATTTAGGTACACATGTACTTTGTGAGATTCATAGAATATATAGATCTATGTGATTACTGACAGACAGGGCAATATATAGATTTATAGTTCATTTATCACATATCTAAAATAAGAAAGGTTTACAGTTAAAGCTTTATGTTTACCAGCAACTGTTACATCTTGAATGGAAAATTATCACATTGTATCTTCTCCAAATCCTCTATATGTAATGTTGAAAATCTTTCTCTCAGAGTTTCTCATATATGGTAGTGAATTTACATAGATAAAATTGTTTCCATTAATAGCTACCACCTGAGACTAGAAAGATGTTTCTGCCACAGTTATGACCTTATAAAATTCTGTTGCCATTTCAGAGTGGTACACTGTTATATGATATAAAAAAAAATTCTGGTTATATGTAAAGGTCAAATGTTGTATGCATACTACAAATCAAATTAAACCTTTTTAATGAATTAAATTATCACATAAACTATGGGGCAGGAGTGTAATAAAGCCATTTAATAAAAACAATAGTACACATGTGTATTGACACTTTGACATGACGTCATTTGTGTTTTGTTAAAGTGCACTTATGTTATAGTGTAACACTTATAGCACATCAACAAAAAATGACTCCTTTTAGCTGTAAACTTTTCTTGTTCTCAGGATATGCGATAAATAGAATATTCGCCAGGGCCGCACATAATAAGATTTTTTTCAACTCATTCAAAATATTTAGTATTAAATTTACATTCATTCAATAATCCTCTATATTCTAAATTAAAATTTTTGTGCCCAGAGTTTAGGGTATTGGTTGGGGGATAGAGATTTACCTTTGTTCTACCGTCATGCTGTTTTGTCCATCTACATATATAGACTGACAAAACAATGGAATATGTTGGCATCTGTATCCTAATGGCATTTGACACATTTCTAGTTTAATTTTTATTTTGCTATATTTTTCTGGGACCCCCAGGACTCTCATGGGAAGATTTATATTGGAAGGGTGTGGGGAGTCCCCCCTTTCTTAAAGCAGTATCGCTCCAACTGCAAACTCAGTCATTACTGGGTAGTGAGTAAGAGAGGGTCAGAACTCTTCCTGGTGCTAGGTGTGTGAGACGCTGCATTGACTACTGTCCAACATGAACAGTAGTATGAACAGACTTAATCAGATAGAATGGGTTGATGTTCACCTATTTCTTTTTTAGCTCGACTATTCGATAAGAATAAGTAGAGCTATTGCAGTCACCCGAGCGTCGGCGTAACCACTTATGTTAAAGTTTTTGTAATAGTTCAAATATTTTCAAAGTCCATAGACATATGGCTTTGAAACTTTGCACACTTGTTCACCATCATGACCCCAACCTGTAGACAGGAGGAGGTAACTCTATCAAACATTTTGACAGAATTATGCCCCTTTTTCGACTTAGAATTTACGTTAAAGTTTTTGTAATAGTTCAAATATTTTCAAAGTCCATTGACATATGGCTTTGAAACTTTGCACACTTGTTCACCATCATGACTCCAACCTGTAGACAAGAGGAGGTAACTCTATCAAGCATTTTGACAGAATTATGCCCCTTTTTCGACTTAGAATTTACGTTAAAGTTTTTGTAATAGTTCAAATATTTTCAAAGTCCATTGACATATGGCTTTGAAACTTTGCACACTTGTTTACCATCATCACCCCAACCTGTAGACAAGAGGAGGTAACTCTATCAAGCATTTTGACAGAATTATGCCCTTTTTCGACTTAGAATTTACGTTAAAGTTTTTGTAATAGTTCAAATATTTTTCAAAGTCCATTGACATATGGCTTTGAAACTTTGCACACTTGTTCAACATCATGACCCCAACTTGTAAACAGGAGGAGGTAACTCTATCAAGCATTTTGACAGAATTATGCCCCTTTTTCGACTTAGAATTTACGTTAAAGTTTTTGTAATAGTTCAAATATTTTCAAAGTCCATTGACATATGGCTTTGAAACTTTGCACACTTGTTCACCATCATGACCCCAACCTGTAAACAGGAGGAGGTAACTCTATCAAGCATTTCTTTTACTATCAAGCACTAAGAATAGTCGAGCGTTGCTGTCCTACCGACAGCTCTTGTTGTAACTCATAATCTGTTTTAGAATTTTCATAACTGCAAAATTCAGGGAAAAAACTGTCAAGCTATAATAATTTCTTGTTTTACTTTCAGTCTTATGGAGATTATTTTAACAGTGAAGAGACTATTGTGATATATAACCGTGTACCAAAGACAGGAAGTACCTCATTTGCTGGAATAGCCTACGAGCTGTGCAACACTAACAAATTTCATGTTCTACATGTAAACACGACGAGGAATGTACATATGCTTTCTATAAATGATCAGGTACGTTCATCATGCTTCTGTCACAGTAATACGGATATTTTTAAATTCAAAATTTCACCATTACCATGATTAAATGTTGAATTCTACGTAAGTCAGTGCTAGGGGGCGTGAACGGTAACTAGCACTTTCCAGTACCGTCCATTAACAGGCTCAATCAAACCGAGCCTGCAACATTTTCAATTTTGTTGTTTTGGGCGTTCTTTACAGCTGATTCTGTTTTTATCTATTTTGAAATTTGATATTTGCCTGAAATAGGTATAAATGCAGGTTGATCATGCTCTAAAATGTTTGAAGGCAAGTCAGAATTAAGTCAAGTTTTGGAGGAGTTACTGAACTTTTGTAGTATCTAATATTAATAGATTATATATCAACAGCCCAAAAAAAATAATTTTAAGCTCAGTCACTGAAAATGTTGTTAAAAGTTTGGTCCAAATATGGCTTAAAATATTTTACATATCAACGACATGACAAATACATTTCATTTTAGTACTTGTTTCATTAGTTAGTAAAAAATGATGTTTCCAACTTTCCAATACAATGCAGACAGTAAAACTGACATTTACTTTAAAACTAGAAATAAGTCCTTGAGTAATGAATAATTTGTATCGTTAAAGTTAAAAGTTGATTAGTGCAAGTTAATTAACTATATCTACTTTACAAGGCAATGTTTTAAAAAAAATTTTGCAGCCATTGATTTTGTGTAATTCATCTGCTGATATATAAATACATGTACAACATATTCACACTGACTTATATGAGCCGCGTCATGACAAAACCAACATAGTGCCTTTGCGACCAGCATGGATCCAGATCAGCCTGCGCATCCGCTCAGTCTGATAAGGATCCATGCTGTTCGCTTACAAACCCTATTATAAGTAGAGAAACTGATAGCAAGCAGCTTGGATCCTGATCAGACTGCGTGGATGCGCAGGCTGGTCTGGATCCATGCTGGTCGCAAACCCATTATGTTGGTTTTGTTGTGACGCTGCTCATTTTATTTTTTTGTCTAATTAGATGTACATGTGTACAATATGCTCTTAGTTTTTCCCAATATTTCTAAAACAATGTTAAACTATACCCTATTCTGGGGTTTGGGACATGTTCCCAAAGAGCTGAGTAAAAACTCTGCAATGAAATGATTGAAATCCAGATTATGCTTTATGTTTCTGATAATGTTATTTACATGAGTAAAAAAACACTAGCCCACTTCTTGTATGGTCCAATTAAAAGCAATTAACCTTGACAGTCAACTGTCATGGAAAAAAATGAAGGGAAAAAAAGATAGTAAAGTTGGGAATGTTATCTGTCATGTGGAAAAAAAATAAATCTGATCAAGCTCTCACTGTAGAATGTGTGGAACAAGATTAATATCTGCAACAGGAGACAGCTTGTTGCAATTTCCCCTTGTGAAATTTAAATGCTTGTTGTCATAAAGCAGTTTAAAATTGATGGAACATTATCTATTTCATTTCAAGTTACACAATGGTTTATTACAGATTTTATGTCTCTCCAGGAAGATAATTGAGGCATTACATTTCCTGTTTAAATAGCTAAAGCTTTTGAACACTTCAGATTGTGCACATGTAAAGCTCTAGTAAACAATCCGAGAAAATCGTGTTATACTGTATAAAAATGGTAAACTCATTGTTGAATTAACTTGCAAAATTAATACATGTCCATTATTGAATAAACTTTAGTTAGTAATTAATTTAATAACAGCAAAATCTGGGTTTGGATTTGTTTGTTTGTTTGTTTTTGTTATTTTTAATTGTGAAAAAAATATGACTGGTAGTTGAATTATATTTTTAGCTCGACTATTCGTAGAATAATCGAGCTAATGCAGTCACCCATTTGTCGGCGTCGGTGTCGGCATCCCTGTGGTTAAGTTTTTGTATGTAAGCTGGTATCTCCATAACTACTGAAGGGAATGGATTGAAACTTCACACACTTGTTCTCTTTGATTATCTAAGATGATTGGCACAAGTCCCATAACTCTGATTTGCTTTTTTACATAATTATGCCCCTTTTTCAACTTAGAAATTCTTGGTTAAGTTTTTGTATGTAAGCTGGTGTCTCCATAACTACTGAAGGGAGTGGATTGAAACTTCACACACTTGTTCTCTGTGATTATCTAAGATGATTGGCACAAGTCCCATAACTCTGATTTGCTTTTTTACATAATTATGCCCCTTTTTCGACTTAGAAATTCTTGGTTAAGTTTTTGTATGTAAGCTGGTATCTCCATAACTACTGAAGGGAATGGATTGAAACTTCACACACTTGTTCTCTTTGATTATCTAAGATGATTGGCACAAGTCCCATAACTCTGATTTGCTTTTTTACATAATAATAGCCCTTTTTTGACTTAGAAATTCTTGGTTAAGTTTTTGTATGTAAGCTGGTATCTCCATAACTACTGAAGGAAATGGATTGAAACTTCACACACTCTTTCTCTGTGATTATCTAAGATGATTGGCACAAGTCCAATAACTCTAATTTGCTTTTTTACATAATTATGCCCCTTTTTCGACGCAGAAATTCGTGGTTAAGTTTTTGTATGTAAGCTGGTATCTCCATAACTACTGAAGGGAATGGATTGAAACTTCACACACTTGTTCTCTGTGATTATCTTAGATGATTGGCACAAGTCCCATAACTCTTATTTGCTTTTTTACATAATTATGCCCCTTGTTCGACTTCGAAATTCTTGGTTAAGTTTTTGCGTGTAAGCTGGTATCTCCATAACTACTGAAGGGAATGGATTGAAACTTCACACACTTGGTCTCTGTGATTATCTAAGATGATTGGCACAAGTCCCATAACTCTGATTTGCTTTTTTGCATAATTATGCCCCTTTTTTATCTTAGAAATTCTTGGTTAAGTTTTTGCGTGTAAGCTGGTATCTCCATAACTACTGAAGGGAATAGATTGAAACTTCACACACTTGGTCTCTGTGATTATTTAAGATGATTGGCACAAGTCCCATAACTCTGATTTACTTTTTCGCATAATTACCCCCTTTTTCGATTCATAAATTTGTGGTTAAGTTTTTGTGTGTAAGCTGGTATCTCCATAACTACTGAAGGGAATGGATTGAAACTTCACACACTTGTTCTCTGTGATTGTATTGAAACTTGAAGGGTTTGTACCTTTTCGTACAATTTTATGTATTCATATAGGTAAGCATATTTATACTCAATGAAACACCCTTGTGACAAATTTTAGAATAGTCGAGCGTTACTGTCCTCCGACAGTTCTTGTTTATTTATCTTCTGGCTGTTGTTTGTGGTTCAGGAATATCTGTCCCATGGGCAAGCCAGGGCTATCGCCCAATGGGCGGCTTTCTTCGGGATGGATAATCTGATCCATCCACAACATAGAATTAAAGCCCGGATCCCATCTTTCACTGACGATATACTTATACCTTTTTCAAATTATGTTCTTCTAACTGAAGAACTTGTATCTAATTGTGTGCATTTGAAATACATTTCTGCCACTTCAGTGAGAATCGTGGTGGCAAAAAATCCTACGGAAATAAATGAACCAGATATTAAGTGAGCATGATTAAGAGCAAAGATAAAACTACATAAGTATTTATATCATAAACATTTACCATAAATCTGCACCAAATTCTTAATATATATTGACACCGTGTAAAAAAAACTTTCAAACCCTGGGTAAATTGCAATAAATTCATCATTGTCTATTTTACAATAAATTCATCATTGTCTATTTTACTGACGCATAATGCTGATGTATTTTTAATATTCCATATACAATTTATATCCTCTTTTTTGACTGAAGAAGGTTATTAGATCAAGCCATGTCAGATACCATATACATGAAAAATGGTACTGACAGCTTCTGGCTTGGTGCTCAGCATTAAAACAGCAATGAATAATGTTTGATATATCGAAGTCAAGCAATAGCCCACCTCTGTTTCATGTGGGAAATAAGATCGTGCACTGGTAAGAGAACCTGTTCAGATCCTACAATAGACGGGCTATCAGTAAAAAGTGCTGAAATACCTGGAAAAAAGTGATCCCTCAGACCATTATTTGATTGGGTTGTACATGATAGATTATAAAAAGTGTAACAACCCTCAAGCCCCCTAGCACCGGCTTAAGTGGGACTCTGACAACTCTCAACAAAAAAAGTACTGGACTCAATTATCCTAAAGGACCAGAAAAATATAGCAACACTGAAGTGAAGTACGGGGCACCTTTTTACAGCTGCCACGTGGCACTTGACACCTGCTGCTTTGATATATAAATGTTGCGTTAAACTTCGATTAAGTAACTCACTCCATTTCAATTTCACATTTCAATATTTTCAAATTATTGCCAGCGCTTTAGGCTGTACCGAAGGTAAGCATTCAAAGCAATGCTTTATATAAAAGGTTACTTGTAGAATAACCTGAAAGTCCAATATGATAATGTGAAGGATAATAAAATTCAGTGCAAGAGCTGTTGCTGATGTTCATTACATTAGATAATGATTTATAGACGCTCTGTTTGCATACAATTAAAATCTGGTCTTTGTGTTCCTCCCAGCCTGATTAATTTGTTGATCATTATTATTCGTGTAAATTAAATACAAGGTTGTAGAGCTGTCATTGTTGGCACAATATGACATAAAATACACACTAAACAATCAGTCTTCATCTCATTCAGTTATTGACAGTATTTAATTAAATTTAATACTCATTTGTATGACTGAAAATACCTGTTTTTTGGGTTTTTTTTTAAAACAATGTGATATAGGAGCTTTGAAAAAAACAAAACTTTTTATTAGCATGCTAAATATTTAAAAGGACTAGCCCATCTTTTTTCTGATTAAGACTGCTCATGATTTTAAGGGAAAATTTAAGAACAAGTTTGACAGAAAAGCGGACATTGCAGACTATAATCAGACTATTGGTTGCCATGGGATTGTCAGCAGATTCTGGTCAGTGCACTCACGGTCCGCATTCAGGTTACCAGTGCTGAAAAAGTGGTACATATATAGTTATAGTTATAAAAAATGATGGTGTCAAAAACAATAAAATGAAACAGATAGAACAAAGGGAGGTAATCAGGCCATCATATCATGATTTTACTTTAAAAACAATAACTAACAGAATATTGCCATTTTTGTACTTTTTTGGGTAAGTTTGGTTTATTTCCAAACTAATTTGTTCTACTTCAATGATTTAAGGTATTTATACATTAAACCTCAAAGAAGTAATTAGAATATGAGAGCTAAGTGTTAGGTGACAGATATACCAATCAACAGGCATTTATAATCTAAGCAGAAGTATTTAGTCATACATTAACAAACAGAAATCAGTCAACTTTTATAAGGTTGCATGAAATTGACTTTTTACTGTTATATTAGACCAAAAAAGCAGGAAAAATGACACCAGTTATATGATAATTATAGCATTAATGTTGTATTATTGGACTGGAAAACAAACAAACAAAAAACTAGGAGGCTGTTATTGGAATACAGCATCAATTTTTATGAATTAATTACATATATGAGACGTACTGGAGACGTTACAGTTTTAATGAATATTAATTATCCCATCATAAAAGAGCGGCAATGAATCATGCCTGTATTGTCTAAAATCAGGGAAAATTGAGAGTTGTTAAATATTGTTGCACACTACATAATTTTGCCATTAAATTGTATTAATGTTATAATTGTACAATGTTAAAATTGATCTTATTATTAAAAACAGTTTTTTTGTGTGTTTTTTTTTTTCATTACTAAATGCAGACTTACTCACTTGGCAATTAATTTGAAAGTTATTAATTGCCAATTATAAGGGGGTTCTTAATGGGTTATGTTAATTTACATTGTATTTTCAAATGGATTTTCAGAAAGGTTTGACAAAATTTGAGCAATTACATCTCAATACATTGTAATTATGTTATAACATGTTATAACAAATGGTACATATTCATAATAACCATGAGAGAGATTGATACAGAATCCAGAATACTTAAAATTCAAAATCATGAATACTTAAAATTCAAAATCCAGAATACTCAAAATTCAAAATCAAAAATACTCAAAATTCAAAATCAAGAATACTCAAAATTCAAAATCCTAAAAATTCAGAATATTCAAAATCCAGAATACTCAAAATCAAGAATACTCATTCAAAATCCAGAATAATTATTCAAAATCCAGAATACTCAAAATTCAAAATCCAGAATATTCAAAATCCAGAATACTCAAAATTCAAAATCCAGAATACTCAAAATCCAGAATACTCAGAATACTAATTCAATTCCAGAAACTGTACTGTATAATACATAAACTAAGTTAATTCAGGTACAGAATCCGGAAAACTTGAAAAAAATTGGTAGAAAATCCAGAATCTTATTTAAAGCAGTACGAGACCATTGGCATTTTCCTACAAAAATATGAAAATACTACCACAAACTAGGTATAAAACCTTTAAAAAATTATACAAGTTGATTGTAACCTAAACAGCATTATCTAAATCAGAAATTCATTGTTTTATTATTTCAGATGCATTTTATACAGAACATTACAAACTGGGATGCGAAGAAACCTGCCATATATCACGGACATTTCTACTATATAGACTTCTTAAAGTAAGTTATTTCTGTCTGACGTATTCTTGCTAAAATAATAAAACAATAATCAACGGAGACATTATATAATCTTTTATGTTGACTACAATTTGATAAAGATGGTATCACTGGACTTGGGGTCTGTTTAGAATCAGGAATAATGATTACAATAGCTGCCGTATATATTTGTTGATTGTTGTGTATATCTTGTCTGCCCTTTAAGAGACATACATGTGCCTGCAGTATGGATTCAAAGCTCATCATCATAAAATGTCATGCTGTTACACTGGAATTTAAAGCCAAATAGGGAAGTTACGCAGATATAAAGCCTCGGTCTCACATACTCCCGGCAGATACTCATAATCAGTTAAAATCATAGGCAATTTTGTTACTATAATATTGATATACAGAAGAACTTCAGTAAGTTGAAGTTGAAGGGATTTTTGTAAAACTTCGACACATCGGGACATTGACTAATGAATCGGTCTCAATTTGATGACAAAATTTCGAGCATTCGAAACTTATAAGAGAGATACAAAAGGTGTAACAAAAGGAAAGTGCGATAACTAAACCAGCTTATAGTAAATATATTCTTATGATTCTCACATGACACCCGGTCACTGTTTTGCCAACAAAACTAATTTGAACTGTTTATTTTGCAAAAATAGCTATGGCATTGATTAGATTAATAACAATTAGAGCATTCATTGTATCACACATGTGAATGCATACAAAGGCTGTTAGAACACACGGCTGTGTTGAATAAACACCTGTCATACAAATTGTTCCGAAATAATCTTTGCGGTCAGAAAAGATGTGAAAATGCCTCGAAATCAAAGCTGTCAAAATAATCGAAGGAATTGTACTCAATTTATTGTATACAAACGATGAGAAAAATTCTTTCGTTTTTTTTAAAAAAAGCATGTTTATAGGGTATAAATCGTGACTTTCATTTTACTTTGACACATTGAGAAGATCGACTACCGGTAATCGAAGTTTGACTCATGGAACTTCTATATAGTTAAACAAGTGTATTAAATAATTTCCACTGAATTCAGTAACTGTCACACCAAAAATTCTGGTGTGTTCTAGCAGCTGCTAGTGTAAGATATAATCTATTCTCTATAATCTTATAATCCACTTTACTGATATATGAGATAACATTTCTCATGACATTTATAAGTTCTTGTTTAATTTCATACTTTACACAAAATGTTGCAATTAAAAGATGTTAAAAATAAGAGTATGTGGTTTCTGTGGGATGTACTTTGTTTGAAAAAATTGAGGATTTGAAAATTTGTTTATAATGGCAATGGGAGATTTCTCGAGAGAAAATTGAAAACATTATTAAAATCAGTGCAAATCCTATGTTTAATCAGGAGTGTTTTTATAAGAGAGTGAATAGTGTAACATTTGTCTAAGGTGTCAGTATCTGACATTATGTCAACTTTAAAAATTGAAATAAAAATGATTTACACCTTTCAAATGTAACACTTTAGTTGATAGGCTAAGTATTAATCAGTCTAGTAAAAATTAAAATTGAGTGTTTATAAAATTAATGTCAAACACTAAATAAGTTAGTGTTCATCAGTAAGCATTACCAATTTTAATTGGTTAATTAGGGCTTCACCGTTCTTTACCAATTTTATTAGCTCACCTGTCACAAAGTGACAGGGTGAGCTTTTGTGATCGCTTTTCGTCAGGCGTCCGTCCGTCCGTAAACTTTTACTTTAAATGACATCTCCTCATAAACCACTAAGCCAATTTCATCCAAACTTCACAGGAATGTTCCTTTGGTGGTCACCTTTAAAAATTGTTCAAAGAATTTAATTCCATGCAGAGCTCTGGTTGCCATGGCAACCAAAAGAAAAAACTTTAAATATCTTCTTCTAAAAAATCCAAAGAGCTAGAGCTTAGATATTTGGCATGAAACATCTTCTAGTGAGTGTCTATACCAAGTTTGTTCAAATAAAAGCCCTTGGGTCAAAATTGGCCCCGCCCTAGGGGGTCATTGATTTTCCCTATATGCATATAGTAAAACCTTAAAAAATCTTCTTTCAAAGAACCCAAAGACCTATAGCTAAGATATTTAGCATGAAACATCCTCTAATGGGTGTCTACCAAGTTTGTTCAAATAAAAGCCCTGGGGTCAAAATTGGCCCCGCCCCAGGGGGTCATTGATTTTCCCTATATGCATATAGTAAAAAATTAAAAAATCTTCTTTTAAAGAACCCAAAGAGCTAGAGCTAAGATATTTAGCATGAAACATGTTCTAATTGATGTCTACTAAGTTTGTTCAAATAAGAGCCCTGGGGTCAAAATTGGCCACGCCCCAGGGGGTCATTGATTTTCCTTATATGTGTATAGCAAAAACTGAAAAGAACCCAAAGAGCTAGAGCTAAGATGTTTAGCATGAAACATCTTCTAATGGGTGTCTACCAAGTTTGTTCAAATAAAAGCCCTGGGGTTTAAACTGGCCCCGCTCCGGGGGCCTATATACAGGTGAGCGACTTCAGGGCCATCATGGCCCTCTTGTTTTTGAAAATGCCTACTGATAAACACTTACCTTGTATATATATTTCAATATTGGTAAAAGTGCAATAAAAACTAAAATCCGGAAAAAACTGAAAAAACGCAATGTGTGCTAGTCCAGTCTTAGACTAATTGACCATCTTGGGATAATGTACGTTTACACAAGATTTCAGACAGCATTAACTTCCTTAAGTGAGATAAATGAGCCCCTAGTGGCCATCTACAAGACACAAAGTATAGCATTTATTATTGATAGCTGTCCACTCCAGAGATGAAACCTACTTAAAAAAATGAGCGTGGATAAGGATCATTGAGATGGGTTGTGTTTTCTCTCTTTTTTAACGACACGCTTCTTAGGTGTTTCACTGGTGAAGAAGATAAAATTTAGAAACACCAGACAACGCCTGTCACACACTTTCTTATAGGTGTTGATAATAAGAAATTATATACATTGTTGTATTGAACTGAAGATTTCAGATCAATGAATGTATAAGGAAAATTTAGTCTCAGACAAAGTAAAATGTCAGTCTTATCTTTTATAACCCCCACTACAGTTTCTTCTCATAAAGAGGGATGAACAAATGAGCTTCACAGTTATTTATAAGATGTTATCAGGGTCTTTGGAGACTGTGAAATTAAAAGATTGATAATAATTATTATTGAGTGATATCACAGCAAAAACAGCATTTAAAACTTAAGTAATTTAAGTATGTTTTGATGAATTTATCAAACTCTAGTGAAAATATAGCAATAAGTTAAAAGATGACCTCCACTATTTAGGTCAGATGTCAAGGTCACAATTACCAAGGTCACAGATATTAAGGTCATTAATATCACAGGTTAAGGCAGGAAGAGAATGTTGAATTATAATTCAATTCTTTAAAGAAATTGCTGATGTACAGTAGATTATGGCAGAGTCTCATTTCATTAAGTTTACCCATTACTTCATGAGCATTTTGTTAAAAATGGCTGTTTTCATTGAAAAGTCTCCCATTACATTAAGATCAAATTGTTATAAAACTATAAAAACTGCTTCAATACTAATCAAACTTGGCACAAATGTTGACTGGACCATTGCCTTTGTAACAACATGCCCAGGCTTAAATTTCCTGATCCATGGCAATGAGGGAACATCTCAAAATTGCCAAAAAATCACTATTTTGCGTTGATTTTTTTTCAAAGTGCTGCAACTTCTCAATGGATTGAGATAGAGTCAAATGCTTTTCAGCGTTTGTTACAGTACGTTACCTTATGATCAATCTGGGGTCATTTTTAGCCTCTCACAAGTCCAAAGTTTTCTAGGGGGGTTAAAAGGCGTGTATATCGGGTAATGGGTTAAATAATAAACATAAATTGTCACCTTGACCTTTGACTTTTATTAAATATAGAATTTACAGTCCAGTTTTATCATTACAACAAAAGTTAATTGCACATTTTATTTCATAATGGGTGTTTGTCTCTCACAACTCATTCAGAAACCATAATGTACAGGATTATTAACATGTAAGGGAGGTGAGTGGGGGTGGGGGGATTTATCATACTTTCAACAAGACTTGTTTAATTCCTAGAACTTTATTTAAGGGATTACCGGTTTTAGCATGGTTAATAATTTATAATGGTATAATTGTATCTTGTCTTATCATGTTTCCAGGAAACCATGTAAAATATCTCAAATTCATCAAGAGTCATGTTAACCTGTATTGATAATATATAATCTGTCAATGTTACATTTCAGCAGAATTGCCAATTATTTGAAATGTTGAAATTGTCTCAGATAAAATGTCTCTGTTAAACTCATGTAATTTTAAAATAAAGGGAGTGGGGTTAAAGAAAGAGGAATGGAAGTATCTGTGGTAAAAGCAATGTAGATTTTAGAGCATGTTTCTGTAGGAAGTATTGTTATATAACGTGGGTTTTAGAGTCAGTAATTTGTGGTTATTTTGCTGACAAGCAGCTATTGAAGTGGGAGTTTAAATTTTTGTGTTTTGTTTCAGTTCTAAAAATTAATATTAACACTTTATGATGTTATATTTGTAGGATAGAATGTAAAGTAGAAATTTTGATGTTTTCTCCGCAAGAAAGTAAAGTGTTGGTTATATTGGTTTAGTTGCACCATTACATTTAATCTTCCTTTTTCATCTGCTTTTATAATTATGCTGAATTTTCACTGAAGAATCTGATAAATAGAGAAATATATCTAGAGAAAGATATCTCATTTACCCAAGTGTTGGTGTTAGCATAAGACTAGCTACAGTAATTGTTAAAGACGTTCTGTGGGTTCATTTAAGTGCATATTTCTACAAAAAGGCTTAAAGGGACTCCATTTAGATTTCTTGACATGACGGGACTGGAAATATTTTTCCACAAATTGTGTACCGTTTCATGTAGGTCTGGACAATAACTTGTGTACAAAGTTTCAGATCAGTCCATTACCCTGTTTCTCCAGAATAATCCTTTTTATATTGGGCAATATGTCGACCCAAAAATGA